AGTATTCTTACTCCGTTTGGTGTTCGGCTGAGTTCTTTATCTCTTCATTTGATGTTCTAGGGTTTCAGGATTGTTGATTCTCTGTTTGGCTTAGTTTTTTGGATCTTTATTGTGGAGGGACGGCGTGGTGCTTCGGCCTAGAGTGCCATCTTGCAGGAGTCTCCTCACAGCAACTCTTTTGCTGATAATATTTATTTCTTTAGGTAAACAGCCAGTGTTACTTCAGAAAGCACCTGTGAAGATTATTGATACAAACACTTGTAATGCTGAAGAAGCATATAATGGTTTGGTTTGGGACACAATGATATGTGCTGGATACATGAAAGGAAATATTGATGCCTGCCAGGTAAGTTTGGATATTATTCACAGTCACTACATGGTATATAAATAATTGCTATTATTTTATGAAAATCATCAATATGCAGACAATTCTAAGCTTCAATTAATTTGCACTTCAACAATTCTGTCAAAGTCCCTGTCAGCTTTGTCACTAAAATAATTCTCCTGTACATACAGTGTATAAGTTTTCAAAAAACACTTAACATTGTGCATGCTTACTATGAGCCAATCATAAGCCCTTTAAAAATATTAATTAATTTAATCCTCATCACAACCTTATGATGAAGGCACTATTGTTATCATTTTATAGATGAGGAAACTGAGGCACAGGAAGATTAAGTAATTTGCACAAGGTCACACAGCTAGTAAATGGCAGAGCCTCCATACAAACCCAGACAATCTAGCATCACGGTTCCTACTCTTAACAATAAACGGTCAGCCTCAGAAAAGTTTTTAATTACTTCATTCCTAAATTCCTCTTACCTTCTCACCCAACTTGTATCTAGGGTTCTAGCTACTTTTCTCAGATATGAAACCCTGTACTCCATGTATCCCTGTACTCCATGTATATCCATATCATATGTCTCCCAAAAGTTTTTTGATAGAACTTGACCCAATAATTTATCAGTCCGTGCCTTCAAGCTTAAGATAAACTCCAAAGAGGTCCAGTGAGTATCTTCTGGCCAGTTACAGTTGATGTTAAGGGTGAGGCAGAGATTTACACCTTCCTATGGTCTCTAGGAAACATGAATCACAAACTTCATCTGGGCTTATCACTTAGAACAAGTAAAATATCTAAAAGTAAATTCTCATAATGATAAATATGCTTTATTTTATTCAGGGTGACTCTGGAGGACCACTAGTTTATCCCAATTCCCGAAATATTTGGTACCTTGTTGGAATAGTGAGCTGGGGAACTGAATGTGGTAAAATCAATAAGCCAGGAGTCTATACGCGAGTGACCTCCTACAGCAACTGGATTGCCTCCAAGACTGGTATTTAAGAGAAGTGCATCTTTTAACATAGGTTATTTTTTCCTGTTACTCCTAAGCCTTTTTAACATGCATTTTAAATTAGTGTGAACAATAGATGTTTTGAAAAAAAAAAAAAACTGTGGTTCTGAGGGAGTGTTTATGAACTTTAATTTTAAGGAGACCCTACAAGACATGTCATTTTTAGTCCAGAAAAGCAAAGAAAGTGTTCCTATCAGAAGCAATACTATTTGTTTTCTATTTTATTAACTCAGATCGTGGCTATCCTGCCATAATACAAAGCTCTTGGTTTTAGTCATTCAGACTTTCTGGAATTACGAAAGTAGGTCTTTGTCCATGGCAAATTAGCAGGTGCCACTCCGACAGATTGGAACCAAATGTTTTATGAAGGTTGGGTTGGAACATGCTGTATCTGCCTTCACGTCATTGCCTTTGTGAAAGGGGTGCGGTTGTGACCTAATCCTGGTCATAATTTTGGTACTGAGTTATAGTTCCTTATTTGTACTGAAGTCTTGATCATCTCTTGCAATCATTGTGAAAGAATTCCACCATCAGCAAACCTAAGCAAAACAATCTATTTTAGTCTTACAGAGACAAGGTACAGTGATTCTTCAGTGCTGACACAGGTTTCTGTGTAAATTCTTTATTTGTAACATGTATAAAAATAAGTAGCTATGAAGCATAAAACTATGTAATACATTTTAATTAAAACGAGTTTAAAAGCAAACTACCTTTTTCAAGACGGCTTTTTTTTTTTTAAAGGGTCTTTTGCAGGTGGCTTTTTTCTTTTTCTTTCTTTCTTCATTTTTTGTTCCCTCCCTCCATCCTTCCCTCCCACCCTCTCACTTTTTTCTGTAAAAATAAGCTTTGTCGTTTCCACTTGGTCAAGGGCTTGGGAAAGGGCTCCAAGATGGCCCAGGCTGGGGGTGGGGGTGGGGGTGGGTGGGTAATTAACACCCTCCAAGGTTGAAGGCCAGTGGTGGAAACTTCTAGTCCTGCTGGAGGATGAAGCCTGCCCAGCTGGCCTTGGGGCAAGCTAGTCTGCAGAGTTTGATCTAAATTTTTTTTTTTTTTTTTTTTTGAGTAGATCTATTTTATTGCATCTCAAAAATGTCTTCCATAAGTCTTAGGAATAATCCAGCCTAGTTTCCGTAGCTGGACAACTCTTAGATCTTACTCATCAGCCTGTTGAACTGTTCCCTTTTCAGAGACATAGATACCATCCAAAAATTTTCACATATCTTTGTTTTTCTTCTTTTTAGAGGTTTTCATGTCTTTTTTTTTTTTTTAAATTGTACTTTAGGGTTTACAGAGTAAACTAGTTTCTCATTAAACAATTAATACACATATTGTTTTGTGACATTGGTTGCCAGCCCCACGACACGTCAGCACTCTCCCCTTCTCGACTTTGGGTTCCCCATTGCCAGCTTTTCTTTCCCCTCCTGCCTTCTCATGCTTGTCCCTGGGCTGGTGTGCGCATTTAGTCTTGTTTTGTCTTATGGGCCTGTCTAATCTTTGACTGAAGGGTGAACCTCAGGAGTGACTTCATTACTGAGCTATAAGGGTGTCCGGGGGCCATACTCTCAGGGTGTCTCAAGTCTCTGTCAGACCAGTAAGTCTGGCCTTTTTTTTTTTTTTTTTTTTTTTTTGGTGGGTTAGAATTTTGTTCTACATTTTTCTCCAGTTCTGTCCAGGATGATCAAACTTCTTGACAAGTTTCATTTCCCCATCTGGAAAGTGGCTCTTCAGTAAGGCACAGAGATGAGAATCCGTGCGGGCAGAGCTCAGGGCGTTGATCCAGCAGGGCTGATGCAGGTACATCTCCAGGACCGTGGCAGCTTCCATGGCATCCGAGGTGTGATTCCACTCTTCTTGGGGTAACTTCTGGACGTCCTGAAGGAGGTCTTTGTGGCCGCAGTGCTGGCTTTGCATCTTCAAGAGACAAGGGGTACCCTCATGCTTCTCCTTGGCCAGCTCGACAAAGTGGCCTGTGCTGTCCCACAGATGTGGGTACATCAGATGGATGAAGGCGGCCTCCACATCTGAGGAATTGTGGCAAATCTAGGAGCCCATGATTGATTGTTCTGTGACAAGGAGCCAAGCACAAAACACGGTGCTAGTGGGTCCAGGAAGCTGAAGATGGCTGAGAAGACGGTCCTGGAGGCTGCGGCTGGAGGTTAAGGAGGAACTTGAGGGATTTGGAGGCTAGTGGGGATTCTGTCCAAAGGAGAGAAATTCATGAACAGCTGGATGTGCCCCTGCAAGTGGCTGTTTTGTACGGGAGAAGCAATTATTGGCCTATTTTTGGTCTGGTTACCTGTTACCGTGGAGTGGATTCCGACTCATAGCAACCTTATAGGACAGAGTAGAGGATGTAATCTTTATGTGAAGCAGAGTGACACATCTTTCTCTTGTGGAGCAGCTGATGGGTTCCAACCATTGACCTTTCAATTAGCAGCCAAATATTTAACCACCAGGCCACCAGGGCTCCTCAATACCAGTTAAGTGATTGCAATTTCTAATGTTCTTCGAAGGTATTCACTCCTCAAGAGTAGAAATTTTTATCCATATTCATGGGTAATTCTACTTAGTGTCTTCACAAAAGTCCTTATACAGTATTAAAATTCTACTTAAACTTCAATTATCTAGGTTGTAGATATAAGACAAAATGTTTTACCAACTGAATTTTCTTCTCCCAAAAAGTATGGATTTTTTTCTCTGTCTACTGATAACCATTTTACATTTATCAAAGATTCTAGCATAAGTATATACTGTATACAGCCATATAATATAGTTGTCTTAAAGTTTCATAAAGTTGCTTTTAAATGTCATTTTTAATTCTTTTCTAGCTTATGTAATTCCAGTTTGTTAAAATGCTCAAAGACCAAAACTCTTAAAGAAGTTTCATCATATTAAATTCTAGTTACTAATACCTTGATATTTAATCCATTTGGTCATAATTAACATCAAATATCTTAACCATCATCATCAGACATGAAACAATAATACTTAATATTGATTGAGTTCTTAACTATTAGGCACAATGCTGATAATTTTGCATGTATTATCTCAATTAATCCTTATGTCTATCCTATGAAGTAAATTTTATTTAATCCCAACTGTATAGATGAAGAAATTAAAATTCAAGGAGGTTAATAACATTACCCAAGGATACAGAACAACACCCATCCTACACCACCCTGCCTCTTAGTCAACCACAGAATTTCATAATAAGGAAGTGACTTTGTCCAGAGATGTTGACAATTTACATTTGTAGGTTTTTTTTTTTTTCATTTGTTTTTTGGTGTTATCTGTTTGTTCTGAAAAGAGTGAAAACTCATAGCTTTGAGTAATACTTAACGATAGTAAGTCTGTACTGGAAAATAACACCAGCAACACTTTCACAAGTGCTTTTATATTTGTATTTTATATCTTCTCAGTTGATCCTTTATAAAAATTCCCTTTGATTCGTGGCCTTGAAACTCTGGGACCCATTTGTCCTCTTTTCACGCACAGCTTTCCATGAAACTTTCCAAGCAGTACTAAATATCTCCTGTCATTTCGCCATGCCCTTCAGACTTACAGGAAGTCACTTATGTCACTGTGAGAAGGACATAGAAGAGAGAACAGACAGGTCAAGAAATATTAAAAGATATGTGCATAAGAATAGATTCCAGATATTGTAAGCCTGATTAAAATTCAAATGAACGGTCTAGAAACACATGTCACATTTTTATGGCAACCTAGTAGGGGGAAAAAAAGAAACTAAGATAAAGTCTATATAAATACTTAAACAAGTTATACAAAACGAAAAATAACTGGACTCTTAATAATTCTATTTGGCCTGTGAAATTTATAATGACCTCTCCCCCAATCTTTTAAAATAAACTGATTTCATAAACTCCTTAGCAGTCATTTCTGAAATTAACATAAAGCATAAAAATCAAACTTCTTTGCTTCAGTAAGTACTCAATTGCATGTTAACTAAACATTAATTAGAAAGGAGGAATAAATCAAGGATTCTGAGAAGCATGGAAGAGAATAGGGACACTTAGTTACCCAGATGATCTTATCGTGCTTGGGAGCTGAAGGCCATGTGATAGAGGAGAACACTCAGAATTTCCTAAGGAGCATAGTTTCCTTTTGCATTTATTTATCATAGATAAAAGTGTCAGATAAAAGGACAAATTGTTATTTTTAAAATGCAAGGATGCACTGGAGTAGGAAAACAAGTCATATCGAGGAGTTACTCAAAAGAAATGCATATGATTAAAAAGGAACTAAACCATTCAAATAAACAAAAACCAAACCTGTTGCCATCTAGTCGATTCCGACTCACAGCGACCCTATAGGGCAGAGTGGAACTGCCCTGTAGACTTTCCAAGGAGCGGCTGGTGGATTCAAACTGTCATCCTTTCGGTTAGCAGCCTTAGCTCTTAACCACTGCACTGTCAAATCACCCAATTTTAGTCATGATGACATGCATATTTTTATATTGGAGTAACTTTTCTGATAACTGCTTCTGTTTGCTTTCTAAGAAGAAGAAGAAGAATGAGAGCAATAAATCTACCTTCTTCCAGGAGGGCAAAAGGATTCAAATAGAGGCTGAATGCCCACTTATCCAGAGAGACAGAGGGTATTAAAGGATCTAGCTTTGTGGGTGGGGGTAGGATTAGAGGTGGGAGAAGAATATACCAGTGATCACTAAGATTTTTATTACTCTTGTAAATTTATGTTTCTGAGTCAAGAGATGCAGATTCCAAAATAGTTGAACTATTCCACGTGAACCCATGCTAGAACGCCATCTTGGACTTAGGATCTACTTGGTTCTTATCTGCCTATGCAGGCTAGAAGTTTATTAATGTGGAATAGTAGACTATTTTTTTGTAAATAATAATATTAATTTATTAAAAATAAATATTTGTGCACCTCCCTTTTTCATTCACAATGAAAAGAGCTTTATGGAATCAAATTTGTAAACTCTTTAAACTTTTAAGTATAACATACTGTATTCTGTATTTTATTGAATATAAGTTTTTCAGTGGCAAACTTTGAAATGAGAAGTAGCAATGCAGAGGCAGCTGTTTTATATATGTAATTTATTTTATTTATTAAATATGTACACTCATATACTATTCAAGCAAATAGATAATTTCATGGATTTTTTAAATGATAGAGTAAAGCATAAATAAAACCGTTTCAATTTAAACTGTACTCTGCTAAGTTATGGAAACTGGTAATTTTAAAAAAGAAGAAGTACTAAAATGAAAATTTTAAATTTGCTTCCTGACAGCCTTGAGGTTATCATTTTGTAAGGAGTAGTGCAAAATTTGGCATAGATAGTTTTAATTAGAATGT